TCTTTCTTCTCTTTCATATATTTATTTGCTTATTACTGTTCCCTTTTCTTTTATTTATTTTTTTATTGTCGCGAAAAAAGATTCATAGTTCTCCTATCGACAAAAATTTGAGTGTAAAACAATAACTAGCTGCGGAAAGATCGAGTCTCATCACGTCTTATGTACAAGAATTAAAAAAGAGCTAAAGTGTAGATACTTTTCAATCTCGGTACAAAAGGGCAAGAACGTTATGTATGCACAGCCTATAAATAGATGAGATGATGCATGAACGAAGTTGATCAAAAACTAAAGTTCCTACCGACAATATACCTACTAAAAGCGAGTAACTTAGCAACCCATTCAAATTATGGATTTGACACGTGAGGCAGAATCTTTCATCTAATAATATGCAAACTACATGTTTCCTTATTAACAATAGGAAAACTTTCCAACGAGTCGCAAGAGTATAAACTCAAATCTGTCAAGTTCTGCAAGCTCGAAAGATCCGGTAGCTCTTTTAAGGATGGGCAGCGAAAAATAGATAATTTTTCCAGCGATTCTGATTGTTCGAGACCTTGTATCTCAACTAGCCATGGGCATCGATTAACACTCAAACCCCATGGCTTTCTTAAGCTCGGTAAACGGGATAGCCTCTCAAGGAATTGGCACTCCACTACATTTAAATGGCAAAGGTTCTTTAGCTGTCCAAGCACATCTAATGGAATTTCGGTTAAGCAAGACCTATATATTCCAAAACTGGACAAAATTTTGAAGGTGTGAAGGTATGACAATCCATCGGTGGATTCAAGATCAAAGAACGTCGACCCATGAATTTCGGGTGGGATCCACTGGAGAGACTGAAAGGTGGAGACTAGCAAGTGGAGATATTTGAGCTCGGTAAGGGTATTTGACAAGTCAGCAGGCAACGTGGTCATGCCTGAAAGGTCCAATTGCAACGACCGGAATTTAGTTAACCTCCCAATCCACTGCAAATCTAGAGCTTGGCATGCGTTTGGTGGTGCATGAGGCATATTATGATATCTAGGATGATCATAATCAGATAAAGACAGATATTCTAAGTTGGTCAGGTTTGAGACATTCGGAATCTCCAGTGATGCTGAAGACGAAATATTCAAAATTTCCTAACTTGTAGGAAGCCTTGGCAGTTGTCCAAGCTCCTCACAACGATGCAAACCAAACTCGTAAATCAAGTAAGCTGACTAATATTTGGTGGCACTTCAGAAATACGGCCTCCACCTAAAGTTAGATCTTTCAAAGATGATAATGCCCCAATTTCCATCGGAATTTCCTCCAAAAATATGCTACCGCTAGCTATCAAATATTCGAGCTTCTCCAACATCCCTATCGCCTTAGGTAGCTTTCTTAATTTACTACCATGCATGAATAGAATCTCCAATCTCTTAAGCTCTCCGATCAAATTAGGCTACTCTATAATGTTCGTATAAGATATATTCAATTTGACTAGAGATTTTAATTTCCCAATTGACTCCGGAGGTTTATTTACCAAAGACTTCCTTAAAGACAATACTTGAAGACCAGCTGTCTCTCCTATTGAATCCGGAAGTTCAAGGAGTTCCAGATTTTCTAACCTCAGCGTGGATAGATGCTTTAGATTACCCAATGAGTTTGGCAATGACTGACGTGCCATGCCTAGATTGGGCATTGTTGGAGCTCCCTTCAAGCACCCTCAAATCACTGCCCCCCTTAATTTTCAAGTGCTTCAAATGCTGCAGCATAGTAATGGATGGGTCAATTTCAACCCGCCTATCACAATCCTTCATGACGAGTCTCTCCAAAGTCAAGCATGTAGAGAAGTTAGGCGTCTTGGTCAACCTTCTACAACGCACGAGATGCAGAACTTTTATTGTACTTTCTCCCTGTAAAATTACTCATACAAGGATAGTTATAAAGATGGTCAAATTTAATGTGCACACAGGAAAATAGTAGATGTAAATTGCTTTTATTACAAGATATCGTACCATGATTTGGGTCCATCCACCCCAATCATCTGTAATGTCAGATTCTGAAATTTTGAGGACAACTAGATTGCTTGGAGAGAAGTTAGTAGCTTGAAACTACGAAGGACAATTTTTCCAAGAGAGCCATCTTAGCTCCAAGAGGAGATTTTGGAAGTCCTCTACAAAGTTTCCTCCATCCAATTCAAGGAACGTTAACTCTACCAGCCTTGAAATGTCTTCGCTTGTGAGGTTACACACTTGAGATTGACCCCCTAGTTTGAGGGCTACCATGTTTTTGGTTCCCTAGTAAAGGAAATTATAGCTCAATTAGCCTGAGCTTTGGTGAACATAAGAAAAAGGCCCATGAATTCAACAAAAAATATTTCTTTTTCTTTGGTAAAAGGCAGGGAGGAACATTCCCGGCTCTCAGCATCATGAAAAGCACTTTGCCCTCCACCTTTTGCGCCGAAATGCACAAATGTATAATTATTTGGGCCCCTCTACATACTTCAGAACAAATGGAAAGAGAATTTTGAGAGGGTTCATATGATTTTTGCACACTTGTGGGAATATATGGTAATTTTAGCCAGAAGATTTTACTTTAAAAATTTCATGGGGATACATGGGATCATCATCTCCGCCAAGTGAAAAAGGAGACCGAGGGGATTGAGGCACTAGCCCGGGTGGAGGGCGCATATGTGGGGACTCTCCTGAATAAGTATGGTAGCTTCCCAATCCACACAAGAACAGAACCAATAATATGAGTCCGACATAGGAAAAACATTGCCCAACTAAGTTTACATAAAATAAAGAAATGGTAAGAATATATTAATCAAAATCCTATAACAAAGAGGACGAAACATTGTGATTGATTGGAGTGAAGACAATTTCAATGCCTATCTAGAATAATGCACGTGATTAAACGAACTGTGCTGATAACAATATCAAGTTAATGACAATGAGTCATGCAAGGAAATTTGGGAGGTGTAATCGCTTATAGGATGAGCAAAAGAGACCCCAATCAAGTAGAAAATGATTTGATCATGTTTACAGCTGCAATGAAACCAATCTCCTCACCCTTTTGATCGGTTCTAAAGCCCCTTGGTTTCCCAAAGTATATTCCAGTTCATTCAAAGGAAATAACACACAATCATCGACCTCATACTGAAAAAAATTCAAGCACGAAGGAACAAATATATGTTAGAAACTAACCGCCTGTGAGCTCCCTTGCAACCATTAGGTCAACCTCTTTCTCCAAAGTAGAAGCGTCAACTAATTGAGAAGGAAGATCCGTATAAAAGAGGGAGACCATCTCTTCAGCGATTATGGTAATTCTAGAACATATGCATTCATAGATATACGAAATCAAATGTAGTTAAGGAAGATTTACCCCTAAAAGAAGAAGCATAGGAAACTGACCAATTACAAGCTGTCTGCTGCCCCATAAAAAAAACACAGGCAGCTTGTCACGTGATATCTAGTCCATAAAACATAAAAGAATCATGAAATCGGGCAATTTGGAAAGCGATTTAAAAACAACCTGAGGTAATCCAGTTGTTGGCCGTAAGTTTGCAAACATGTTAATACCTTCTCTTAATTGCAGTAGCCCAGTTTCTGGCTTCGAATGTTTTTCATTATCGTCCCACTTATAGCTTAGTAATGAAAAAGGCAGGAACAGTATAGTTATGAGGGAAAGATTGCAGGGAAGAAAATTACCCTCCAATTGATCCAAGAAGAACTGGATCAGATTGTGCGACTTGGGAAAAACTCACAAGACTTCCACGTAGTGATGATTTTGATCTGTTTCTATTAACTTGTCTTTTGGTAGTTTTGTTCTGTAAATATTGTTGTATGATGTAGGATTGGGCTTGGGTTCGTGGCTGTCAAATTAGGCCAGGGACATGATTTGTAGAGCTTTTGGGCTAGTGAGGCATTTCGGTCTACCCTCTCTCTTTGGCAGCCATAATGTTCGCCGAATCACCAGATAAAAACAAAGTATTGCTCGCGGAGGTATCTCTCCCACATCAGAAATACTCTTTACCTTAATCAGAACAAAATAAGTGAACCCATACTCCATTATCCTGCTTTCTCTAATATAAGCATGGAGAATATATAATTATTAATTCATAATTGAATACTTATTTGATTTTGCTTGTACTGGTCATGTAAGATTATAATATGATGTTTCTATTCATTATTAAATAAGAGTCTTACTAATCATGAAAGGTTAATTCCACTTTTCTCGAGTTGTCAATTTATCTGGAAATATATATTGTATGCGCCTTACAGAAAAACCGGTATGTATTCTACGATGCTTCTTTACCTATGTTGAATTTTTTAAGAGAGTCGCAAGACTAATACATGTTGTTGTTATCCATAAATGCAGATGAAGCCGATAATTCTCTGTATCATATTGATGTAACGAAGCATTAGCACTGTTAAATCCAAAGTCTGGAATATTTTGACTATTGTTACTTTTGTTTGCCCACTGACTGACTGAGACAATTACTTGGTTGACTCCATTACTTCTTTTCACAAGTAGATAAAATCTTACAGTTTAGAGAGATGTCTACATCAATTGCTTTCAGTTGTTGTGTCCTTTGGTTCATGTATTGTGTCTCACTGGAAGTTTCCTTCGTACTAGTCTATAAATAGGCTTCGTATAGTGGTTCCCCAAACCACATATTAATCTCTCTGTCAAGCAATGGCATATTTCTTATTCTTGCACCTTTACTTTCTTACTAACTTGCTTCAATGTAGTCAAAACCAAACTTCTTCTGTGAGATCTCCTGCCATCAACTACCAGAGCCCGCAATTGAGTATTCCAGTCTGTTCTAGACCTCAACGTTAAGACCCAAGATCGAGTTCTTTTCTTCATCGTCATTCGCTTGTTTAATGCATAAAGACTGCAATTGCACCGAAGTTTCTGATCTGTAGAAGTCAAGCCACAATCAACCTGGCACGACTTGCATTTTTCAGGCTCATGTAATTTTAGAGTGAACACGAAGAGATGGGAAAAAAACACATTGGAGAAAGACGAAGTTCAAAGTCCGTCAAGGTAATTGTGGCAGCCACCAACTTTACAGGCGGAGGAGCTCTTTCATTTCTTCATTGCTGAGGACGTGGAAACCTTCGCAAGGCGGTTTAGAAATTTTTGGTGGCAAATGACCCAAATAACTAGCAGGGAAACGGTTGAGGGTCATCACGTCTTACGTACAAGAATTAAAAAAACAGCTAGGTGTAGCTACTTTTCAATCTCAGTATAAGGGCAAGAACGTTATGTATACACAACCTATAAATATAAAAGATGACGATTAATCTGAGCAAGGCATTCAAATACCGCCACTTCTGGTTGTGGACTGTAAGCTGCCCATCATAGCCTTCCTGATCCAAAAGCTGAGAAGGGACATATAACGCGAGGCAGCATCCTGCATGAGACAACAGTCAAACGACATGTTTCCGTATTCGCTACAACAGGCAAACTTTCCAACAAGTCACAACGAGATAAATGCAGCGTTTCCAGGTTCTGCAAGCTAGAAAGATTAGGTAGCTCTTTTAAAGATGGACAGGCACAAATAGATATATGCTCCACCAATTCTGATTGTTCAAGACCTTGAAACTCAACTAACCCCGGGCAATTAGTAACCCCCAAAAACCATAGCTTTCTTAAGCTTTGTATGTGAGATAGTCTCTCAAGGAATTGGCAGTCCAATATATACAATTTGCGAAGGTTCTCCAACTGTCCAAGCACATCCAGTGGAATTTCAGTCAAGTATGACCTGCATACTTCTATTTTGGACAAATATTTGAAGGTGCGAAGGCATGACCATCCATCTGTGGACTCAAGATCAAAGAACCTCAACCCCTCAATATTAGGTGGAATCGACTCGAGAGATTGAAAGGTGGAGCCTGGTAATTCAAGATTTTGGAGTTCGGTCAGGGTGCTAAAGTCAGCAGGCAACAGGGTCATGCCTAGAAGGTCCAATCTCAAAGACGTCAACTTAGTTAACCTCCCAACCCACTGCAAATCTTGAGCTTGGCATGCGTTTGGTGGTGCATGAGGCATATTACCACAATCAGATAAATACAGATATTCTAAGTTGGTCAAGTTTGACAGATCCGGAATCCTCTGTAAAGCTGAAGATGAAATTTCCAAAGATTCCAAACTTGGAGGAAGCTCTGGCAATTGTTGAAGCTCATGACAAGCACGCAAACCCAAATCACGAAGTTGAGAAAGCTGACTAATAGTTGGTGGCACTTCAGAAATACGGGTATGTTCTAAGTTTAGGATTTTCAAAGATGATAGTGCCCCAATGTCCATTGGAATTTCTCCCTCCAAAAATTTGCAATTGCTAGCTTCTAAATATTCAAGCTTCTCCAACATCCCTATTGCCTTAGGTAGCTTTCTCAAATTACAGCTTTCCATGAGTAATACCTCCAATCTCTTAAGCTCTCCAATCGAATCCGGCAGCTCTATAACATTCGTGCGAGATAGATTCAACTCGACTAGAGATTTCAGTTTCCCAATTGACTTCGGAAGTTTCTCCACAGATGAATCACTCAAAGACAACTCTTGAAGACCAGGTATCTCTCCTATTGAATCCGGAAGTTCAAGTAGTTCCAACTCTTCCATCCTTAGTGTCGACAGACACTTTAGACAACCCAATGAGTCTAGCCATGACTGACGTACCGTGCCTAGTTCAAGCGTGGTTGGAGCTCCTTGAAGTATCTTCAAACCATTACACCCATTAATTTCCAAGTGCTTCAAATGCAGCAGCATACAAATGGATGGGTCAATTTCAACCAGCCTTCCACAATCCTTCACAACGAGTCTCTCCAAAGTCAAGCACGTAGAGAAGTCAGGCGTCTTGATCAACCTTCTACAACTCACAAGATGCAGGACTTTTAACCTACAATTTCCCTGTAAAATTATTCATACAAGAATGTACAAAGACCGTCATATTCACTATGTACAAAGAAAAAGAGTAATTGTAATTTGCTCATAATACAATGTATCGTACCATGATCTGGCTCCATCCACCCCAATCAGTTGTCACATCAGATTCTGAAATTTTGAGGACAACCAAATTGCTTGGAGAGAAGTTAGTAGCTTGAAACTCTGACGGACAATTTTGCCAAGAGAGCCATCTTAGCTCCGAAAGGAGATTTTGGAAGTCCCCAACAAAGTTTCCTCCATCGAATTCAAGGAACCTTAACTTTACCAGCCCTAAAATGTCTTCACGTGTAATATTGCATACTTGAGATTGTCCCCCTAGATTGAGTGCCACTATATTTTTTGTTCCCTAGTAAAGGAAATTATAGCAAAATTAGCCCTCTGCTTTGGCGGACATAAAAAAAGGCCCATGATTTTAAAACAGTATTCGACCAAAAAATATTAAAACAGTATATTTTCTTTTTGTTGGTAAAAGAACGGAAAAGGGCGATTATCGTAACTCTCTCTTTGACTCACGAGCCATAATCACACAATCCACCCACAAGTATACGAGCCTATTACCACAACCCAACTAGGCAGAAGGCAAGGAATCTCTCACATGACCTAGCAAATGCCCAAGGACTTTGCTAGCATAACAGTCTTTAGGCTACCGTTAGAATAACAGTATGTTGTGAGCCACAAATTTTTAAAAGAATGGACCCACAACAATTTTCAATTAATTGTTATTTATTTTTTTGGGAGCCCAAAATAGGTTGTTATTCTCATAGTAAATTAAGGACACTGACATGAGCACTCAATGCCCAAAGCACAAGCTGGCCAGAGGTTTGCTTACGACATAGCCGTATGACCCCTTTACCAACGAGCTACCACACTCAGTTGTAAATTAACATAGTACCAACCTATTCTATTTTCTAAACAAAGTGAAAAGTAGAACTTTAGTCAATACGTACCTCGTTTCTTTGTATAACATCCATGGCTACGGTGGAACTCCATATTCTACTACGCTCTCCAGGATGTTGGATACTCTCCTTGCGAACAAGTTCCCTCCCTAAATCTCTGAGTTGATCATGCATCCAAATGTCGTCATCCATAATTTTTATCAGAGACATTTTTACAAGAACTGAGATGGCTTCGTAGGGAAAAAAATCACAAGCTCTCCACATAGAAATTGCATCGCTTCTGTTTTCACCAGCCATGTGACATGCAATGTCAAGGAAAATTTCTTTCTGCTCATATTCCAGCATGTCATAACTTACCTTCAATATTTCCCGAACGTCTTTGTGTGGCATTTTCTTCAACTTGGCTAATACATCATCCCATACTTCTTTGCTCTCACAGCAAAGTGAGGATCCGATAACCACAAGGGCCAGTGGAAGTCCACCGGTGATTTTCACAATTTCTCTTGTTATTCTATCATATTCAAGTGGAGGAGTATCGCTCTCAAATGCATATCTATTGAAAAGTCGAATGGCAAAAAACTCATGCATCTCCTCCATTTCGTAGAAGTGATACACTTTAGGATGTATTGAGGCATTATTCTTGTTAATTTTCAAAAAACCAATGTCCCTAGTTGTCACAATAATTCTACTTCCCGGGCCGAACCAATCACATTTTTCTGCTAGCTTCACAAGCTGGTTCCTTTTATCCAAATTATCAAGAACAATCAAAACTTTTTTGTGGCGACATCTTTCTCTAATCATGTTGATCCCAAAGTCAGTATCACGAACCTTTATGGATTGAGACTTGAGGATGTCAGACAATAATCTGTTTTGCAATTTCACAATTTTACCCTGCTGTGCAAATTCTCGAACGTCTGACAAGAAGCTGCAACCTTGAAACTGAGAAGTGATTTGGTTAAAAACAACTTTGGCAAGAGTTGTCTTACCGACTCCGCTCATTCCATGTATTATGACAAACCGTACATCGAGAGAGTCTTTGCCTAATAAATCCATCACGGCTTGCACATGATCATCGATTCCAATTAAATGATCAGGCACTACTCGAATTCCTCTTGACAGTTTCCTTGAAACCTCATCGGTAAGAAGTTTTATAAGTTCCCCTTGGCTGCCGGACACGAAATTCAGATTGAGTAACAACATAAAGAACATCAAATTCCATGATTTTTAAAATGTGAATTTGGCATTCACATCAGTGGCGGAAATTGAAAATTTTATTTAGCAGCCAAAGCAAATTAAGGCCAAGATATCTATTTTAAACACACACATGTATCACATCTTTTTACAATGAGAAAGGAACAAAGTTACGCAAACAGAAAGAGAGAAGAAGATTTGTAGCAAAACTACCAAGTAAAAAACACAACAATCAGAAGTTAACGCTCATGGCGTGGAACGTTGAACCCGAGAAAGACAACAAATTCACGGCAAAATAACCACAGAGATATACACTGTCATCCTCAAATTATGCAAGCATCCCGTTTATACTTTGAAAGAACTAATTCCGGGAAATTTAAACCAGCTAAAAGTTAATACCTTATTAGTCATAACACTACTCTTTTGTTGATACTCGGAATAAGATATAACTTCGTCTTGCATGCGATGCATTTACTTTGCAGAAAATCACTCATTGGTAGATATTGTTTCCTATAAATAATCGTAAGTATGTATCACCTAGAAAGATCGGTGGATTGATAATATTTTCATCATCTACAGCAATATATGCTTAAACATTTCCATTGATGATAAAAGCATTTTGCGTTGATTCATTGTCATAAACTATACTAACAATTATATTTTAGGGAAATATTTTCTATATCATCATTGACTTTCAGCGAGGAAAATGCGCCGGCTAAATCAATTCTCTTACCAAATTTTAGTGAGAGCCTCCACAAACAGCTAAACATTCTTTCCTTAAATATGCGACTGGCTAAATCAATTTGCTCTCCATTTGATCTTGGTAAACATAACAAACATCCAAGCATCTCTAAGATATTTGAAAAACCGTACTAATCATAGTCCCTGACACAATTATTAATCACTTGTAGCTAATATCAATACATGAACATCAACTCCAGCAATCCAAAAAACATTTGTTTTCCTTTCTTAAAGTCTCATAAATTACACTCTAACCCCCTTAACACTGAGTGTTGTCATCCCCAAGATCTGCTAAACATCGACCCTCAAAAAAATTTCGATGTATCGGATTATCACTTCAGAAACTATACTCTGACATCACTTTCTAACACCTCATAGAGAGGGGGGTCTAGAATGTTAAGTAACTACAATTTACCAGAAAATGAACATAAAAATTTAAAAAGGTTTCTTATCCTCGAATCACATAAGATTTATTATTAGCACAAAAAAAGGAAAAAAAACAGTAAGAAATCGGCTGATCTGAGTTGATCACCCCAAAAAGTCACCACTGAAGCAAATTACACCAATCACAGCAAAATCCATAAGGATAACCTCACATTAATTTGTTGCGAAGAAGCACAAATTCTTTCTTTAATTATGCAGCAGTATAAATTAATCTCTTGATTCATATAGCAGTTATCAAATTCCTTCAACCATATGCATCTCGCAACCATATAAACCAATAATCTTTATTTGTCGCTCTAGGGTTATTGTATTCATATTTGAAGACATGAAAAAGAGTGAAGAAAAGCACCCGAAACTCTCTTACCCTCTATCTCTGCAGTGCCATCCATTGATAGAAGCGACCACTGTTAGAGCCTCCTTCCACTGTTGCACTTGATCGGAGCTGAACCTGTCCTCATGCCTTTTCAAGGCATCATCATATAATCCAGTTCTGAGCTTAACATCGTCAGGATCGACATCGAAGAAGATGGGAAGAATCACTTTGTCCATCGATCTTCTCGAACATTCCACCACGTGGGCAAGCTCGCGAAGACACCATGCACTAGATGCATAGTCTCTGGAGAAGATGGGCACGTAAATTCTGGAGACGTTGATCGCATGTAGAAGCTCGCCCCCAATCTTTTCACCTTTTCGGATCTCTGCATCGTCTAAGAAGACGCGAATCCCAGCTCCATCCAGGGAGTGATAGAGGTGATCGGTAAAGCTGAGGCGAGTGTCCGGCCCTCTGAAATTCAAGAACACGTCAAATTCAGCTCCCAGTGACTCACTACCTCCACCCGTAGAGGAAGATGTTGCTGTGTCCGAGTCCCTCTTTCTCTTCATCGTCACTAACGCCATCTGCTGAGCTGAGTTACTTCTGGTGTGTACGATTCCAGGAGAGGATGTCGTTCGTGAAAGAGCTAAACAGCGAAGTAAACCACTTTGGCTTTTCTTTTACGCGGCATTAGTATTCCATTTTCTTGGCACTTTTTACATTTCCCAAAGGAAATGATAGCAGTCACGCGTGCTAGCAGTACCTCAGAGAAAGACTTTGAATCATGGGGGGACAAGCAGCCCAACTTTCCAAGGAGAAGTTTCAGAAAGGAAAAACTGTGTCAAAGACGTACCATCACGGACCTGAATTTTGTGGTGAGCGTTTTTCACACGCCAAAGATATTTTCTCGTGTTAACTATCAGCCACACGGAGATTCTTGACAGCCACAAAGCGAAAAACTCTAAGGTGAGTGGATATGCAAGATCGACCGTGCTTTATAAATTGGGGAAAGAATATTAGAAACGTCAAAATTTATGCACAGCACTCATTTTAGTGTAAAAAATTTTTGCTCACTTATTTAAATGTCAAATCGAAGGAAAAATGATCACTTAAATATCAACGGTAAGAAATTTCGATCAAATTAATACGTGACTTTTATAATTAAAATTTTAATCTGAATTGGATTTTTTTTTAAAAAAATCGGTCTACGTGGCATTTCCATGTATATATTTAGATTTTTTAAATATTTTTTCCGATTTTTTTCTTTATTTCTTATTCTTCTACCTTTGGCCGGTGTCGGCCAGCCGCTTGGCCTCGCCTGGATGAGGCCGTCGTCGCCCGCCACAGACAAGGCTAGCCTGACCCTCGCCTAGGCGAGGGTGGGCGAGCCCCGGCGAGGCCAGCCCTCGCCCAGGCCACGGCGGCCTCGCCGAGCGTTGCCTGAGGGAAGGCAACGCCCGGCGAGGCCACCGTGGCTTAGGCAAGGGCCGGCCTTGCCAAATCTGGTGAGGGGAGCCCTCGCCGGGGCTGGCCCTTGCCCAGGCGAGGCGAGGCCAACCCTCGCTTGCCCTCGCCCGGGCGAGGGTCGGCCGAGCCTCACCTGTGGCAGGCGACGGCGGCCTCGTCCATGCGAGGCCAGGCCGCCGGCTAAAGGTAGAAGAAGAAGAAAGAAAAGAAAAAAAGAAAAAAAGGAAAAAAAATATTGGAAAAAATGTTTAAAAAATCGAAAAAATATTAAAATATTATTAAATATTGTCTCCGTCAGCGCTGACGTGCCACGTAGGACTGAGAAATTAATAAAATATGGCCACGTCAGATTTCCGGCGACCCAAATCGGAATTAATACTTAAGTGATCGTTTTTTTAAAAAAATGGCACTTAAATGATCCGAAAAAAACTTTTGGTACAAAAATGAGCACCGTATATAAATTTTGGTACTTCTAGCGTTCTTCCCCCTTATAAATGCCATCACACGTTCGCAGCTTTCTCGTGTGAGCTTGTAAGCAGTAGACTCTCTCATGTACAATGGTCTAGCTAATTCTCAACAAATGCTAATTCAACCAATTTCACCCAGCACGCTCTCTCACTTGACAAAGAGCTACCTTTCAACTAGACCACAGACTACAGTATACTAAACATACAAATACCAATAACCAACAAAAATTTTTTTTGAATGCACACTTAAAGGAGAGAGCTTTGGCATTATTTGACTTTGGTGCTCAAATAGCTTCGATTGAATCGAATACGAGACAAACAAATCACAGTAATAGTAAGCATTCAAAATTTTGATATTTTGCAAGGTTGCATTTCAATACTAGCGGCAATCTTCTTATCAATCCGGATAATTATCTTGAGATCGAATAAAAATCCTACTTTAGATTAGCTTTCACACTTCATGGAAGTGAGGATGAGATTCACATTCGGCTAAAACATCATTTGTCTCGATATTGCTAAAATTCTGTATTTTTTATTTCTTGATAGGCAAGTTAGGGCCTGTTTGGTAATCATCCTGTTTTTCTTTTTTTTGTTCCACCGGAACGAAAAAAGAATAGAAATCCATTTGGTAATATCAGTTAAATTTCTATTCCCTGGAATAAAAAAGTGGCCAGGGAATAGATTTGGAACAGAAATAATAAATAAAAAAAATCTACTTCTTTGTTCCTGGGAACAGTTTCAGATACAAGGTCATTTTCTTTTGGGATATGTTCACTAGAAGTTATAAAACTTATCACCAAAGTGTAATTGAGTCCTAAAATTTGCAAAAGGTGCAATTGAGTTATAAAACTTATCAAATTGGTTCAATCGAGTTCTAAAGTTAACACCGTCCAATTTGACTAACTGAAAATGCTGATGTGGATTTTTTATTATTTTTTTATATCCTATGTGGCAATGACATGACTTTTTTTATCATTATTTTAATATTAATTTTATTTAAATTAAATTTAAAAATAAGCTAAAATTATTTTTAAAAAAAAGAAAAAAAAAGATAGGAGGAGGACAGTCAGGGAGAGAGGGCTTGCCCTCCCCGCCGCCGCCCCACCATCGCCAGGAGGGGCTGGCGAGGGTGGGGGAACGGCAAGCGGGGGTCGTCAAGCCTCAGCCAGGGGCCGGCGACCCTCGCCGACGATAGGCGAGGGCTTGTGGGCCCTCCCCCAGATCAGGCGAGGGATCGCAGGCCTTTGCCTACCATGGGTAAGGGTTGCCGGCCCCTAGCCGGGGCCCGACAACCCCCGCCTGCCGTCCTCCCACCCTCGCCGACCCCTCCCGGCGATGGTGGGGTGGTGGCGGTGGCGGGGAGGGAAAGCCCTCCCTCCCCAACTGTCCTCTTCCTTTTTTTTTTAAATTTAATCTAAATAAAAATAGTATTAAAAATCAAATTTTAGCTAAAACGACATCGTTTTAGCTACGTCATCGCCACGTAGGAGAGAGAAAATATTAAAATAAGTCACGTCAGTGTCACGTCAACATTTTCCATTAGTAAGTTTGACGGTGTTAACTTTATGACTCATTTGAATCAATTTGATAAGTTTTAGAACTTGTCTGTACTTTTGTAAGTTTTAGGACTCAATTGCACTTTGGTAATAAATTTTAGGACTTCTAGTGAACATGTCCCTTTTCTTTTTTTCTTTTGTTCTTCTTCCTCCTTTAGTTGATTACCGGGCCTCGACGATGGCCAGCAAGGTCGAGCCTCACAAAATTCAAAATATTAGAAAAATCTCATAAAATTATTAAAAAATTCCATGTCACAAATTTTTTTTAGGATCATACCAAGCGCTTTTTTGTTCTTTTTCTATTTCGAGAATAGAAATTTTGTGCAGTTACCAAACGTATTCTTCTACTCAGAAACTTGTTCAGGGAATAGAAATAGAAAAAAACTAAAGAAATTATTCCTGGGAATAGAAATGTTACCAAACGCACCCTTAGCTTTTTATTTCAACAAGAAGAATAAAGTAGATCCCATTACAGGCCCATATCAACTTGAACATATCAATCCCTCATCAAAATGAAAGCACTGGTATAAGACTGCAACATAGCAGACCTCAATTGCAAAAAAAAAAAAAAAGAAAGAAAGAACAACAACAATAGCAACATTCAGCTATGCAACTAAAAGCAGCACTCAACTGCACATAACAGTGATTATTACAATGGTTATTGCAATTCAGACAAGAAAAGCCTGAGCTCAAGCCACCTTATGCCTAAGAGAACATTTCCCTTCCAAGCTGCATTTGACTGCAAATTTAATCAAATTAGATCAATATTTTGAGCACAATGTGAATGCATATGCTCATTCCTAGCTCTCCATACATGATAAAGGCAGGCATTCCAAGCAATTTTTGGAAGTATAGCCTTAAAACTACAATCCCTAGCACTCATCTTGATCCAGGTAACAATATCCCAGATCCCAGGAAATCTATCAACAAGGCACAACAAAAGACCCTTCTCGAGATCCAAGCAGTGTAATTACATTCAGAGAAGAGATGTGCTCAAGAATCCTTTCCTTGATTGCATAAGAGACATAATGGTGGGGCAGAAGTAGAACTCCATCTCAAGATCCTATTAAGAGTTGGCAGCCTATATAAAATGACAAACCGAGATATGAAACCAAATCGAGGATCATTGGGAGAGAATCAAATTAATCGATGTCAATCCAGCTTTGGTCCTCTATTCCTAACAATTTCCTGAGGAACAGAAGAATTCAATGCAATAGCAAAAGAAGCAGTGCAAAGAACTTTGTCATCCACTAGAGAGTTTAGGAGAATAGTTCCACAAAGGGTAGCTTGAATTGTAACGTCCTCACTTTATGGTTATTAATAAGACGTTTCAGGCGCATCATCGTCCCATTTATTTTATCTTCTTATTAAGAGCATGCGGAAGCATACAACAAATACCCAGACGACAACAAGCAATTAGGAAAAAAACAACTTTGCAATACACTACTTCTTATATTACATGCGTGAATTTTACAAGTCCCTTTCTACAGGTTTTTTTTTCCTTTTCAACACACTACACGTATCCGCATAGACTGGGGAAATTCCTATCTCCTCTAGCGTGACTATAGCTCCTAAAACTAGTGTGAGACTTCCATGCCTACAAATTTGAAAAACAACGAAGTGAGTCAAGGACTCATTAAGTAAAACCCACTAAACTCCAGATAGGAGGACGCATCGCCATCGAACAAAGCACATGTCATAGCCACATCAATTAATAGCAGATCAATAGCAAATGTGATATCCCCGAATTTGGACCGAGGAGCCGAGGGCAAGTGATAAAAGAATGAGCAGGTAATTTAGGCCGAGGGTCGATAATGGAACGGACAATATGGTCGGAACGAGTGTACTGAGGGTTGGTCATGGTTCGATCGAAAGATTATCCATGAATTGGCCTAGGGATCGATAGTGGAATGACTCCATGATCGCACAACACGATTAGAGTGATATGACTGTGGATTCACCCTTTGACCATAAGAGCCGTTAGTGGAACGGTCTGGAATAGCTGTGGATCAGTCCGGTGTCGGCATGTGTCAGTCGTAGGTGATTTTGCACGATTATGCATCGATCGTGGATAACCATAAGTTAATTTCGGGATACTGGATTTCACGAGGCTACATGACAACCGAGGGTCGATCATAGATCGTTGATACTCGAACGTGGATCAATCGCAAATCGGCCACGGATCGTCGCGTCGAGTCGAGTAGGCCATGGATGAGCCATGTGCCAGGCCACGAGCCGGGCTAGGCTATGTGCCAGCCGCACCGGCCAAGTCTTGTACCCGGACATGACCGGCCAATGTGCTCGTCAGCTAGGCCACAAACCGGTTATGTGCCCGGTCATGTGC